TTAGAGCCGAAGGAGTACTTTATTTGAAGTCAAATAGAGGGCATAAAGCCTACGAAATGCTCAATTTTAAGCCGTTATGCTGCCAAATTTTTTCCAAATGGAATGACACATTAGTAGTGGTAGAATTTTTTTCAAATTGAAGTCAAAGTGAATTTTTGTTGAATTACTAGGTGTTAACAAGTAGAATTAAAGAGAGATAAATATGATCAATAGTGCCTTATGCATTGACTTCCTATTTTTGTTTAATTCTCACAATATCTTTGAGTTGCTGATCACATTTTTCTCTAAATGATTCATCTTAGTTAGGGACCATAGACAAGGAATGGATGTCCGTTAATCGTCTAATAAAGGAATATTGGGATGGGGTGGAAAATTTTATTAACTTTGAGGTGGAGCATGCCAACGATCACAGTAAGATTATTTGTGCTTGTCTTAAGTATTGCCTTTTAAAGTGGGTTTCACCATCCGTTTGTGAAAACCACTTAATTATCAATGGAATCTATCAAAGTTATAAGCGCCGAACAAAGTACGGAGAGACAAGAGATATGAGTAATAGTAGCCGAGGACATAGTAAAAACTATGGATAATCTAATTTTGACACAAGTACAAATGAAGCCAACTGTCTTAAGGATATGGCCAACGCGATTGAATGGGAACTTGAGGATTGTCCAGAAATGTTTGAGAGATTGAAGTGTGATACTAAGACACCTCTATATGAAGGTTGTTCTAACTTCACAAAATTGTCTACAGTTTTGAAATTGTATAAGTTGAAGGCAAGCAATGGGTGGAGTGATACAAGCTTCACAAAATTACTTCGTTTGTTAAACAAATGCTACTGAAAGAAAACGAGCCTTCAACCAAAACATATAACACAAAACAAGTGTTGCGCTCTATCACCCTTAGTTATCGAGTGTCCTAAGTGTAATGTCTCATGCTACCAAGAGAATGGGAAGAGCTTGAAGAACGCATTATGGTATTCTCCTATTGTGCCAAGATTTAGACGCTTGTTTAGCAATGTAGAAGATGCGAGAAATTTAAGATGGCATGCGGATAAAAGGATTAAAGATGGCATGCTTTGGTATCCTGTTGATTCTTTAGAATGGAAGAAGTTTGATATTGAGTATTCTTGATTCGGGAAAGAAGATAGAAATCTATGCCTTGTATTCGTTACTGACGAGATAAACCTGTATCGAATGCAAAGCAATACCTACAGCACATGGCCAGTGATTTTGTTTATATATAACCTTCCTCCATGACTATGCATGAAGCACAAGTATTCTGTGATGTCTATGATAATCCCTGGGCCAAAGCACCCAGGAAATAATATAGATATATACCTAGCTCCATTAATTAAAGACTTAAAACTATTTTAGGAGAGTGGGGTCGATGTATACAATGCATTTAAGGAAGAAACATTCAAGTTGAGAGCCATGTTGTTTAGCACAATTAACGACTTCCCTACATATGGTGATCTCTCAGGGTATGGATTAAAGGGCAACTTGGTTGTCTTATTTGTGAAGAGAGCACAGATTCCATAAGGTTGAAGCATGGTATGAAAAATTCATATATAGGACGTCATAGATGGTTACATTTGATCATCCTTATTAATAAATTAAAAAAATTTCAATGGAAATTCAGAAGAAGGTAAGGCACCTACACCGTTGACTAGGTAGGACATCTTTGAAAAGGTGAAAGATATAGATTGTGAATTTGAAAAACCTTTTGTGAGGCATGTTAGGATAAGTAGGTGGAAGAAGATGTCTATTTTCTTTGTGTTGCTGTATTGGATGACCCTGAATGTGAGGCATTTTCTTGATGTTATGCATGTTGAGAAAAATATATGTGAAACTGTGTTTAGCACATTACTCCATATTGCCAGGAAGACTACAAATGGCATAAATGCGATGCTAGACATAGTTGAGATGGGGATAAGGGAGAAATTGGCACTAGAGAATAAGGGAACTCGTACATTTCTTCATCCGGCAGCTCACACGCTATCTAAAAAAGAGAAAATTAGCTTTTATGAGTTTCTTACTACAGTAAAAGTGCCAGAAGGCTACTCATATGTTTGTTCAAGATGAAGTGGACATTTAATATGTGATGAATAGGCCTAAGGACCTGTTTGGTTTAAGGGGAGGGTAGGGGAGGGAGAGAAGGGTAAGGTGGGGGATGGTAGGGAAGGGTTTAACCTTATCTTGTTTTGTTTGATTAAAGAGGAGGGAAGGGATGGATATTTAATGATCCTTTGTTTGGTTCAAGAGAGAGAGGCGAGAAATAATAATGATCAATTTACCATTTTATCCTTACATATTAGTTTTTATTTTTATTTATATATTACAAAAATTAATTTACATCTTAGTTCAAATTACATAATTTAATAAAAATGCAATATTACTAGGTTAATATGTGTATTAAACAATTGGTACGGTAATTTTTTATTCTAATTAGTATAATAATATATTTTAAATAATCAAATAATCAAATTTACTTTTCTTTTAAGAAAATGAAATTTTTGTTTTGTTTTGACTATGCTTTTTCTTCCTGCTTTAAAGCATTTTAGTTAATAAAATAATATTTTTGTAAAAATAAATTAATTTTTAATTGTAATAATATTTTTATTTTATATAAATTTTTATTACACATAAACGTCACACAGTTGCAATGGGCCGCATGTTCAATTTACCGAGGGAGAGCATGATTCATAATATGCCTCTCCCTGCTGATCATGTAAGGGTACAATTAAACACTGTCATTGATCCTAAGTATACCTTTCCTATACCCACCCGAGATACAGAGACAGTGGCTTAAGCCGTGGGTAGCTTTGTTGCTTGGCTTGGTCGTCTCCTTATGTTAGGACAATCTACAAAGGTATGTATAGGTTGATACCTTCAATTGATTTAAAATAAACTCTGTTTTAATTGCTAACTATGTGTTTGTCAGTCTAAGGGGAAGAAAAGCCTACTGGGCAATCATTCATTATTATCAACACAAAAGCAACCCTCTAAGCTTGTTCAATCAGTATCATCAAGATGCTAAATATGTCTTGAGAAAAATGCAATCAGGGCCAGATTAGAACACGGCAATTCTTTATTGATTCCCCTAGAATTTGAGCCAGAGATCTATGGTAGACCCTTGTTTGACTATGTCACAAATGATGTATTGAAGGAAATTATGACGCCTAGATTGGCCAGCATGAATGCCTGTAACTTTGATATCAGGTATTTCTTAAAACCTTGATTACATACTTGACTACCTGAACATTTATTCTATTGATCTGTTTGTTTGTTGATTTAGGTACCTTTACAAGAATTTTATAATTCGTAATGGCCTCAATGACAAGTTTAAGATTATCAGCTTCCACACTTTTGCCAACTGTGGCCCTGATATGAAGAAAGACTTATCTAGAGATTTAGTAGATATCTTCATTTCAATGGAAGTAAAGAATAGGGATACTTTGTTTCTAGTGCCTTATTGTTAATGGTAGTATACTGAACTTGCTTAAATTCTTTTATTTTCAAATATTTTGTAATTGTTCTAATTGTCTTTATTATACTTAGGGATATTGAATGCTGGTTGTGGTCAATGTCTTAAAGCCAACGATTTGGTATCTCGATTCTCTTTATGGGGATCTGACCAATCAACCTTTAATGGTTTCATTGTTTAATAAGTAATATTTATATGTTTTATTCATATTTAATTTAATTTCTTGCTTCTATATAATTTTAGACAATTATTAATATTCAATTTTATTGTCTTCTCAGAGCTTTATGGCTATACCGCATAGATCAAGCCTTATCCTGGCCCCCATCAAAAATGGCCAATTCGACTTATATTGTATGACATTTGGTTTGTTATTAAGATGTATATAATGTAAATTTATACATGGTGGTTAATTAGATTCATATGACCAAATAATTGATTGTTGTATATTGGTTTGAATGCTGGCCTGGTTTTGTTTATCGAATAATGCTGCTTTGTATGAAATTTCATAATGTAGGGGGCTACTAGAAAAGTAACACCACTATTAAAAAAATTCTAAAAATACTTGATGGTTATTGGTTTAAAACCGTCAAGTATTTAAACAATACTTGACAGTTCTTTGAGTAACTGTTAAATATTTTTAGAATACTTGATGGTTGTATAAGTAATCGTCAAGTAATTGATGCCATTGACTGCAAAATTAGTCATCAATACTTGATGGTTTTACATTTAGAACTGTCAAGTACTGCCAAAATATTTGACGATTATAACTGTCAAATATTTTCCATCCAAATATATAACGCAAACATACTTGACGGTTTTTAACCATTAAGTATGAGCAAAAATAATTGTCAATCTTTGTGTTTTCTGTAGTAGTGAAAAAGTTATAAATTTAGTAGACGTAATGAATAGAGGTGTTGTATATTTAGAACCAAAGCAAACCTTTCTACTAACTCTTATATTTAGAATGGAAAGAAACAAAATTTATCATATAGACATTACGGTTTCCCATTGTATTTTCTTAAAGGAAAACTATTACACCCATATTTACACAAATAAAACATATGCGAAAGGATATGTGTGCGCGCGCGCGCGTGTGCAGGTTATTTGAGTTAACTGAAATTGATATGCCTTTTGTAGGTCTCCTAAGCTCTGATGCTCGTAAACTTGATTATGAGTAAACTGATGACAGGCATATTTTGAAAACATAAGAAGAAGATTCTAAATAAGTGAAATGAAAGAAAGAAAAAAAGAAAAAAGGAAAACGAAAGAGAAAAATATATACAGTCCACTTTTGCAATAATTAAGATTCACAATAATATCTTAAATAATCTTGCATCTCTCTCTCTTTCTTCACTTCTGATGAAGTTTATTTTAGAAGATTTGGATTATACACACACACACACAAAAGCTCGATCCCCAGATTACTATATTAATTATTCACTTCATGAAGACTACATATAAACACTAATTAATTATAATCTCTGCTCTGTGTGTGTGAGAGAGCAGGAAGCAAGACTCTAAGCATCAACATAAACTCGGACAACATCAACTATTGGAGCCTCACAGATTGGGCGCATCCCATTCTTCCATTGTAACTCATGGGAACATTTTAGGCACGTGCACATATGGCCACATCTGTAAAAACACATTTCAACGTAACGATCACACATAAGATGAGTTTCAACGTCTGAAAATATAATATGGTAAAAAGTGTACATTTAATTCTTTAATTTGATACGAAGTTTCATTTAGATTCTGGAAATTTATAAAATGTTTTTCAGTCTTTTTACGCCTAGCCATGCCATTGACAAAAAAATATTGATATTAAAATTTAATTGTTAATAATATATACACACACTCACACTTAAGTGATGACAATATTAAGTTAATTTTAAAATCATAATGATTGCTATAAAGAAATTATCATCTAAGACCAACATTATTAGGGTTAGAGGATTGAAAAGATACTTTTTATAATTTTACTTGGGTTGAAATTCTTCCATCTATATATAATTGCAAGTATTTTTTTTTTTGGCCAAATATATAATTGCAAGTATGATTTCACTGTTAATACCTAAGTCTCTCTTATATTTGGAGAAAGTTGAGAAGAGAATTTTATGAGGAATCAATGGAGAAATAAACATTTGAGGGACAACTGGAATTTTACTCTTTTCACTAATATACTCAAAAGGGGAATACTAATCATCAAACTTTTTATGAAATTATGCAAGTGAAATATATTTACACATGATTAGATTTATCAAAATCAGGTTTAAAAATACAAGAGTTTCAATGACAATAGAATAAATTACCAAAAAAGTTAAAGAATAAAAATTGTCAAGTTTTTTTTAAAATAAATTAGAATGTAAGTCCCATGCTTTACATGAAATTTAAGGTAAGCCCATACTTTTGAATGGTTTGGCTTTTTATTGATTTTATATAGATTACAGGTGAGATATATAGAGGCGAACCGTAAAAAAACATTTCCAAATGAAAAATAATTCAAAGAAAATACCTGTATAAAAGTGAATCAGCCTTCATCTTTAAGCAAATACAACAGTTTCCTTTCTTTAATACTCTAACATGGGACTTCTTTCCCTTACCTACAATTTATTTTATATAAATTATTGCATTTCTATTTGAGAGGTAGACAAATTAAAAAACAAAATGGCACACATGTAACATGTTAAATGTACAAAAAATGCAAATACAGTATAGGCTTAATTACTCACCACCAAAACGTTCATAGCACAAGTAATAAGTGCCATGCAAGTAATACAACAAGATATACTCTCTCCAATCCTAAATATAGAAACTATAGTTAACGGATTTTCTTTGGTTCTAAATGTACGATTTCTGTCCAGTCAATTTGTCTGACAAATTATAGTTTTTTCTCAAACAATTTTATTGATATTGTACATATTAAGTGAGTTTTCATCCATAATGAGAATAGTTTCTAATGCAAATGATTAAAGAAATTAAAGCATTTTAGAAAAACTAACACATGATTATCATAAATAATCAACTTAACTAATTTAATTAGTCTTTGTAAGTTAATTATCTTAGCTCTCCTACATGAAAATAAGTCATTAGTTGATGCATGCAGGGAGACACTTCCATGGATCGTATTATATTTTAAAATCAAACTATATATTTTCCTGTTTATAAATCAATAATTTTACGTATTCATATTGCATAAGAACATATATACAAGTTTCAATAAGCGAGGTACAGAAAAAGATTACTCAACCGCAATCCAAAGAGGAAGATGTGTGATGTGGTCTCTCCCATTTCTGAATAAGCTATATATTGATTGGTGAGGTCCAAATTAAAATTGATCAATTTCTTCATGATATTTGGGGTGGGGGATTGTGCAATGAAACAAGTTATTACTATCTCTAATCCTTACTATAAGAGCAAGATAACTAATTTGTAAATATTAAAAAAAATTAGTTAAGTTATTATTTATAATAAATAGGTGTTGTTTTCTCCAAAATACCTTTATTAATTACATGCACTAGAATGAAAATCCTTTAACACATATAATCACATAGCTAGTGGCTATTTTTTTTTTTAAAAAAAAAGGGAATAATATGGGAGATAAAGTGGATTGGAATTTTATATTCAGAATCAAATTAAATCTCCAACTGGCTCTTATATTTAAGACTAGAGGTAGTATTTTCATTTAATTAACAATAATTAAAAAAAATATAAATGAACCTGGATGATTATTCTCTCGACTGAGTGATTTTTGTAAGATCATCTGCATATCCATGCAGCTCCTTATTGATTTCCTTAACTCAGACATCTCATGATAAAGCTGCTTCATATGCCCTCTCAAATCATATATGAGTTCCATTTCCTGTATTGTGCCATGAATATTTCAAAAGCTATTAAATGAACATGAATAGAACTGGTGGCAGAAAAACACTATAGGAAATTAAATCACAATGTATAATTGAAGTTTTATAACAATGAAATAGACAAATAATTTTGAAGTACAACAACATTCCCAAAAATCTTATGGTAACGTGAAAAAAAACTTAAGTTAAAATTATAAGGACAAAATCCACATGACTTATAACAATTATTTAATGCAGGGTTGAACTCGGGTTCAGATTCTAAAGTATTCACTCATTCTTAAATATAATCTTCATGTCCATAGATCTTATCTACTAAAAACATGTATAATCTTTCATTTTGAATGACTGAGTTATATCCAAAATTATTGATTTAATTGGATGATCATGGTTTATTTTTATTTGATATTTTTATTTTAAAACAAATATGAATTAAAGAAAATACAACTTAAACTATATGGATAAACCCCAACCACATCAAATATATAACAAACCACTTAAATTATGTTTTTATTTGTATACAACCCCTTCAAACTCTGAAGTTACATGCATATAAGCCCACTAAACCTATATATATGTGTGCGCGCATGCGCAGATAATTAATAAACAAAACTAATGGCGAGGGATAAAAAGAAAAGGCTAAAATGAAATTAAACTTACAATTGAAGGATGATTGGTGGGCGAAGAGTTTTGATGGGCATCCGCAAAGAAAGATGGAGATTGAGAAGGCTGTGTCAAGGATACAGAAGGTGATCTGAACCCAGAATCCTCACCACCATCATTGTCTCCGTAACGCCATTGTGACGGAGATGACTGGTTCACTGAGTCACTCTCTCCATTATATGAACCACTTATCAGAATCTCCTCTTCCTCTTCCTGTTTCTTTTCTTCTTCTTCATCTTCATCATCCTCTTCTTCTTCTCCTCCTCCTCCTCCTCCTTCTTGTTCTTGTTCTTCTTCTTCTTCTTCTTCCGCTTCTGCTTTGAGTTCATCCTCTTCTTGATCCCCTTCTGCAGGATTCTTCAGTTGTTGCTGTAAAAATGCTACCAATTGCCCTATTTTCCCATGGTGGTTGGCTTCATCGCCATCTCGACTAGCCAATAGGTTTGTTTGTGTTCCCTTGTGAGACTCCATTAACCTGTCCATTTTTTCTCTGAAGTCACTACATAGAAAATTTGACACCGTTCTTCTGCAAAACAATGCAATGTACAAGGAGTCAAAAATTTGACTGGAAGCATGGAATTATAATTAGCTATATGCATCTATATCACACCAATTTGATTTTTATTTTTTCTTCTTTTAGTTGGCCATCATTTAGTTTTTACCCTCTTTTTTAGATAAAGTATTGATTATAGATTTTTCAATGAGAAGGTCAAAATTAAAAATTTGATTTGAGGTGAACAAAATAAATAAAATTGAACCAAAACCAAAAACTGAATATGTACCTTTGAAGGAGTTGGCAGATGTCATTATTTTGTGATTCATTATTAAGCATCTCTTTATACCACGCCTGCCTGCGATCTTCCCAATAGCTCTTAGGTTTAGAAATCTGACTAGTCCAATCAAAATTGGCAGCATCACCATAACTCTGCTCACTACTGTTCTCTACCTCTTCAATCTCATCATACATTCTCTCATCATACTCTTCCTCACTTCCTTCTCCTTCTTCTTCTTCCTCCTCCTCCATCTCATCATCACTAGTTTGATCAGAAACATTATTATTATGCTTCTCTTCTCTTCCTTTAACATTCTCTGATACCTCTGATTCTGCATTTAGATCAGCCATGGAAGAAGAACTCGTTTCCGCATTTTGAGCCTCGGAGCATACTGAGACATTTGAGCAAGGAGGTGGTGCTTCATCCTCTTCCTCTTCTTCTTTGGTTTGATCTATATGGGACACAGGGTTTTGGGTAGGGTTTGGAGTATTATTTATTGGTGATGAGAATTTGCCTTCTTCTTCTCTAAAAGGAGTTCTTGGTTCTTCAACTACTTCTGCTTCAATTGATGATAAACTACTTCCATTTTTCATTCCTCTGCTAAATCTTTCCCTGCATTTAATTGCGAATTTATAAAAGACTGAGGCTCCATTATTTTTGGGGGGAAGTTAATAAAAGAATTAAATGAATAACACCTTCCTTTTGAAAGAGCAGAAGGATAGAGAGAGGAAAAAAGTAATTAAATCAAGAATATAAAGGTAATTAGATAAGAGGTTAATTAAGCAAGCACCTTAAGCGCATAATTACAGATCCTTGAAGTTTTTTGATCCCTTGTGCTGTTGTTGATTGCAAACCACGTTGATCCTTAGCCATTATACCACGTTGCATTAGTCTTAATCGAAGCAATGCCTGCTTGTATAGTAATTAACACACAAATTAAACTATGTTATGACTAGCATATATATATTGGAAGAAAGACATATTCAGGGTGAAAAGAGATGATATAAGTTAAGGTGGCATCACTACCAAAAAAAAAAAACAAAGAAAATAAAAAAGGAATGAGGAGTGACAATGGAATTTGGAAATTCCATCACAAAAAAAAAAAAACTTTCAGCAATTAATTAGAGACAAAGAGAGGTTTGATATGGTCCACTACATGTCAAAATAGGGATTACAAAGTTAAAATCTGTATGTTCTGAAAAACACTTTGTTAAACTTCGAAGGAGAAACTAAAAGATAAATAAATTGCAATAAACTTATGGATCCTCAGTTTTAATTTATAGTTCAAAATTGAATTGGGAACTCTGAGTTCGCCCCCGGCGGGAGGAGCGAGAGCGCAAAAATGATAAAGTAGCCTATGAATTGGTACAGGTGAAAATTGCAAATGAATATGATCAAAATGAGTATATACTTTCCTCATTTCAAATATAGGACATTTTTACATAATATGCCTGTCAAGAGAAACAATTAGGTAGTCAAGATTTTAAAGTTTTTTCAACTTTACCTTTCTTTAAAATGCATGGGAAATGAGTGATATTAATGAAGGGGTATAAGTAATTTTAGAAATATCTTATGAATATTTCAAAAGAAAAAGTCATTGGTTTCCCTTAAAAATTTACAAAATGCCTTACATGTTGAAGTATGGAATTTTCCAAAACGTACCTTACATTTGAATGGATTAAAGTGTAAAATAACATATTCATCAACGATATTAAAGAAATTACCAAAAGCAATAAAGAAAACTAAACTACTCAAACATAAATAATACTAACATGAGAGATTCATTTTAAAATTCTGAAGGTCGCAAAATTATGTGCATAAATGCTATAACCGTTTGTCCCGGCGGCCAAAAAAAAAACTAAAGCCATTTCTCACTATAAATACCCTTTTTTATAAAGCTTTGTTGAAGTTCAGCTCAAAAAAATAAATAAATAAAGCTTATTGAACCGTCCAGGTGTCTCTAGGATAATGCCTAATTAAAATTCAACCCACCCAAAACTTCTCATTTTTAGTTCTTTAAGTTTGCCCTCATTTTGGTTTTGATTCTTTAAGTTTTAAATCATATGTTTTGGTCTTTTAAATTTATTTTCATTTATAACATTGGTTCCTATAATTTAACAAAAATCTAGACCGTTTTGCTCCCTGAAGACCAAAACCTATAATTTGAAAATTGAGAGACTAAAACCAAAATGAAAACAAACTTAAAGAAGCAATGATTATATTACCCCAAAACCAAAATAAGAAAGATAAGTTAGTTTTTACCTGAATCCGACCCTTATGTGAGAACTTTGAAACAGCCGCACGATCTGCAAGATTATTGAGCTCGCCATGACGATCACGCTCCATTTGCATAAGCAAATCATTAAAGGCTTGCCGTCCTCTAATTCTTGGTGATTTTATCACAAAGCTTCTATTCTCCGATGATTGTTCTGGAGATCCCACACAATAACTTAGATGATGATGAATTTGATTATCATTAATATCCACAATCTCTACTTCACTCGTCGCTGTTAGTCTTTTGATAATATCAGCCACCCTCACAACTGATCTCTCCCCCTGATGATGATGATCTCCCTCATTGTGAATCAGGCCTTGTGGTGAATCTGCTTCTTCTGATGATGATGAAGAACTTTGCGGTGATGATGAAGATGATGTTGCGCTAGGGCTAGATTTCGGAGTTGACGACGACTTGGTCGTGTTATTTGATGATTGGTTTAGTCTCTGTTCCCATATTTGAACCAGTGATGAAGCCCCTTTAAGATTTGAGATATCACAGGGTGATGAGAAATCTGAGGGAACAGAAATCGGAGGTGGTTTTTGTTTCCTTAAAGGCGGCGACGGCGGCGAGGACGACGAAGATGGTGATGGTTCTTCGTGGTTAGGGCTCACCAACGTGGACGACTCATCTTGGTCTCTTTTTTTGTTGGACGCAAAACGTAGGGTTCCGAGGTGGTTCTTTGCCTTATTGTTTGTGTCCCATGAACGAAAATTACCGTTATCGTTGCTGTTAAGGTGGTCTCGGACGAAATGGTCGAATAAATTTTTGGCTTGTGTGACTCGATGATGATGATTCCTCGTATTGACGATGCAACTAAATGGTGGGGTTGACGAGGCAAATTCGACTTGAGACGATGCCATTTTTTGTTTTGTTTCTCTGATGATTCAAATCCTAGTAATTGATGAACATCAATTCATGAAGGCCATTTTTGTTTTGATGCATATCTGGAGAATCTGAGAGATGAAGAAAATGAAGCCATTATATTTCAGGATAATAATGGCGGGTGGTGGTACTTAGAACATGATGAGGATTTCACAAAATTCAGTAGGAAAAATTTGTTTGCCGGAAATTTTGAAGGCCTCGAGGAAGGAAAAGGAGAAGAAAATTGGTTTGTTATACGAAAAGAAAGGAGATGTTTAAGGCTATAATTTATATTCATGGTTTTAAGAGTTAACATAATTAGCTTATCCTTGTTTTGGTTGTTTTTCTATAGAACTACATAGCTGCAACGCATCGGACGTGTTAAAAAGACAGGGTAAATTTTTTATTTTAATGCATAATATTACAACCTTATCGGATTAATTTTTATTTATTTTAATGCACAAAAACAAATTTTTGGTCAAAACTGAAATAATTAATTTATTTACACATTCATGGATACTTTTGCATGTTCAAAAAACATATAGTGTTTGGTGTATATACTTTGACTAAAAATTTATAGACATTTTTGCAACTTTATTCTTTTTTTTTTTTTTACTTGGGGAAACATTAACATAGGTCTTGCTACAAAAAGCAACGATGTATGATAAATTTGATAACTGTGTCATTTTTGCTATGTTTTGTAAGTTATGAGTAATTTTGTATCTGTTGGGCATACTTTAGATAAGTTTATTAGAATTTTTACATTTTTACATTTTTATTTATTCATAGTTTATTCCTAAATGTATAACTATATTTATTTTATATTGTGTTTCAAAAGGAAAAGCAATAACATATAAATTGTTGAGCTGGCAAAATGAATATAAATTGTTGACATTGAATATAGATTATTTAAATACAAATACACTCCCCCCCTCCCGGTATATCCGAAGAGATACAATTAATCTAGCCTTTTATCTTTTTCCTTCTTTTTCAGGTCCCAGAACAGGAATATTTTCTTATTTTCTGTGCAATTTTGTCCCAGAACTAGTAAAAAAAAACGTAACAATTTCTCCCTACCCTAAATTATCACTTGGCTGTTATATAAAATATCAATTTATATGTTACCTAAATTAGTTTGAGAGAAAATGATAAATATAAGAAGCAAAGTGGATTAAAATCTCATATTTAGAACTAAATCTAATTTTCAACTAGCTCTTATATTAAAGATAAAAAGTATTTATATACAATTAATCCAGCCTTTTATCTTTTTCCTTCCTTTTCAGATCCCAAAATAAGAATATTTCCTTCCTTATCATTAAATGTTTCATTTTGATTGACATCGTGTTATGAAATAATATGTTGATCTAAATCAAAGTGGACTAAAATATGATATTTATGACTAAATCTAACTTCTAATTAACTCTTATATTAAAGATAAAGAGTATTCACTTATATTTTTATTATCTTTTTATCATAGATATAATGCTTTTCAATTTTTTTATATAAAAACTAGACATAAGTTTATTTTACATGTTGCATGGAGTTTTTAAAAAAATATTGCCTATAAACTTTCTTGTATTTTATGTTGATATATTATCTTATCCTAAGACACTGCATAAGACACCACATCATCATCACATTGGACAAAAACAAAAGAAAAATAAATAAAAAAGAAACCTTTTTCCCCTTTTATCAGAATCATCGGTGTTCATGAAAACATGAACAATCAACAAAAATAATCATAAAGCCATATCAATAATTACTAAATATGGAGATAAAAAAATACATCTGGAAAAAAGTAAAGCTTTTCCCTTTCATTATCATTAGTATCCATGAAAATTCAACCAAAAAAAAAAAAAAGAACAAACCAAATCAAACTAGAAATATCTTTAACCCTTTGGTTGATAAAGGGTACAAAAAATGGTAAGAGAATATACTAACATAAAATATAAGAAAATTATAGGCAGTACTTTTTTAATAAATTATTATTTACTTAAATGATCATTTTAAAAACTCAATGCAATATGTAAAATAAATGTATGCCTAGTTTTTATATAATAAATAAAATTGATAAATGTTATATGTATGATAAAAAAATAAATAAAAATATACATAAATACTTTTTATCCTTAATATAAGAGCTAATTGAGAATTAGATTTGATTTTAGATATGAGATTTGAATACACTTTGCTTCTTATGTCTATCATTTTCTCTCAAACTAATTTAGATAACCTATAAATTGATATATTATATAAGAGTCAAGAAACATTTTAGAGTAGGATGAAATTCTATGTTTTTTACTACTTCCGGGCAAAATTGGGCCCAAAAAATTTTTTTGGATACCCACAGCTTTTTTGAAAACTTTCTAGGCAAAAATGCTTTTTTAACTTGGTCAACTAATATTGACCATTTGGGTCTATTAGGACATGGAAAAATTGCTACGTCTTTAATACTTCCCAGCAAAGCTGCACCCAAAAAAAAAATTTCTGAATATCCACAGCTTCTTTTTAAAAACTTTTGGGACAAAAATGTTGTTTAACCCTAATTTAAATCAAAGATAATGGCCTCCACATGTAATATTTACTTTGAGAAATTTTGAAATGTGAAAAAGAAAAAGAAGAACAAGTTTAAGTAATGGATCTCTACTTGTCAAAACTAAAAACAATAACATGATTATTTTGCTAGTTAAATCAAATATTCACTGCTATTACTTAAATTACATGTTATTGGGACTAATAAATTAAAAATTCACTACTATATTTGGAAGGGAATAGGACTTTGGTTAATTAATTACTTTTGGTTAAAAAAATTAAAATCAAAATGGTGATACAATTGTTTCCTTGAAAAATTAAAAAAAAATTTCACAGGACATCTCAGTTTCGTCCTGTCCAATCTCAATTAGAATCAAAATGACTTCAGAACAGGACGTACAAGACACAAGACAGGATTTTTCTGGTCTCATCCCGTCTTGTGAAGACCCCTGATAACAACAACAACAAATTGTTTTCCTATGATAAATCCTATATATCAAAAACTTGTGTGTTGGGGGTACAAACCTTTGACTCCTGTGATCCTAAAGCCCACAAGAAGCTCAAGACTACCGCTGCCCAAAAACCCTCCAATCCAATTAACTTGGTCCGATCCGATGAAACATAAAGAGTTGATGGCGTCATCATTGGCTCTCTATCCCCCCCCGGTTTCTCCTACAGTCATGGCTTACTCAATACGTACAGTGTAGGATGATCTTATTGCCCCTGGTCTGGAGATAAGACTTCTGGAGAGAGGAGGATTACAGTTTGGAGAGGTTAAGATCCATGCAGTTGCTTAACATACTTGGACAATGAGAGTTGTACTCTAATTTTGACTTAGTTATAGAGTTGTTTTAAAAAAATTTAAAAGACTTGTATTTTGTGAAATTAGAGAGTAAATATAATTTATATCAGTAATTGTAATTTTTTTTAATCAATAATAGTTTGTTGGTTACAAAATTGTTGGTCTTTGCATGGTTCATTTATCAAATTTGACATTAATATTCGCAATGCAATTAAAAAAAAAAAACCACACAATCACTTGACTGTTATCTAAAATGACAGTCAAATATGGTGCATTTATTTGACTGTTTTTGTAAACAAGGTTCGAGTAAGGTGCTCTTATTTAACAATTATTAATAAATAATTGTCAAATATGTGTTTGAAAGACATATGAGAAATCATTATTTGATAGTTTAGGACTGACAAATATTAAAATTTTTTTGTAGTAATGGCATTATACTTAGCATTACACACACACACATATATATGTATGTATGCTATTTCATCATTGATTTAACCAAATAAGTATGATAGCAAAAGTATGAATCTTTTAGTACGAGTGGGAGAGACCAATTCTCTTGAGCCTTGCTTTTATTGAAACCATGGCCTTTACTTTAAAAAAAAGAAGCTATGTATAGAGTGAAACAAAAATCTCAATAACTAAAGGAATGTTTCTAATAACATGATGAATCAACATAAATATCCTAACTATGGGCTAAGCAAATCCTTTTTTTTTTTAAATCTTGAATAGCTATATAATTTAACCAGATAAAATGAATATACCATATAGACAATGGTTAATGGTTATGGAATGAATATAACAAGATAAAAATTAAAATAAGCCAAGGAAGTAGTTTAAAATATGTTATGCAATTTTTTTTTAATGAAAGACAAATTTATTTAATTATCACAAAAAAGACAAATGTATTACTAAATAAATAAAACGGTGTACAAAAAAAATTTCAACTGCTAACCTACTAGGGCAAGCAACTATGGAACCCAAGTTAAAGTAACAAACTGGAAGTAAAAATAAATGAAAGCCCAGTAAACATAAAAGCAATTACAAGGAGTAAACAAAAACCATGAAATGGCCAAGAAGAATTGGTCTAGTTTAGAATTGAAAAAATATGCCAGCCCATTTAGGTCAAAAAATTATGAGGACCAAGCTTAGAATTTTTTCTTTAAATTGAAACGGGCTTAAAAAACTTGATCTTATAAGGCCAAGAGGTTAAACATGCCAATCTTGCATGGTCAATGACTGACTCATTTAAGTCCTTTTATAATTTTTTTAATTTTTTATATAAGTATAATATTATTAATTTTTTTACATTGTCAGTGATATTTCAAATATTTAGCTATCATTATCATTTTGAAATTAAAATTCATAAAATGGTTTGATTTATTTGGTTTTGGATAATAATTTGTTCAATTAATAGCTACAATATAAAATTTAAAAGTGAAATTTCTATGAAAAAGAAAAAATTCATATTTTTGCCACTAAAGAAGAGCATACTTATCAAGAAGAGCAATTAATAATAGTGATGATGAAATTTCAAAAAATTGATGATAATATTTGTCTTTGTCTTGTTGATGGATATTTTAGATATTCTTAGATGTTGATGAATGTTTAAATATGATGATGTTTTGAATTTGTGACTTGATTTTATTCATATCTATGCTTTTTATTAGTAATTTCATTGCTGTATTTCAACTTTTTTTTTTATAAAACATATGGGAAATATAAAAAATTGCATTTTTTTTTCTTAAATAAGCCGAAAGCTAGTAGGCCAATCTTAAACCTATCAACTTAAGGGCTGAGTTTAGCAAAATGAGATATTTCTGAAATTTCAGCCCCGCAAGACCAGCTTATATTCCCAGCATTAGTCTAATTGATATCCAATCGACTCATAATTCATGAGGTTATGAGTTTGAATCCCATTACTAATTTGTTAGTGAGTGATCCATAAGTACCTCATTCTGATGAGTTTGGGGACTTAACTCATTTAAACTTTTTAACCCAAAAAAAAAAGCCATAAAACCTAAAAAATGTTATGCAAATAATAGAAGAAAAATGAATTTTTTTCTCCACATACATCATATTAGGCTCAGTGTGGCGGGCCTCAATCTATTTGAAGATTATCCAAAAATGATATTAGGGCCCACAATCTAGAAATAAATTATTCAAATTCATAATAATTACATTAAAATATTTGCCCTACCTTGGTCCCTCAACTGCTCCGGCGCACTCCTAGTGTGAGGGAAAAGCGCGAACGAGAAGCACGGGAGCGAAGAACGGTGAAGCCGAAGTCACAGATAGAGCAGAAAGAACAAGAAAAAGAGAGAATGAAAAAGAGATCTCCAGGAAAAGTAACAAGGAAAGATGGAAGAGGGAGAAAGAGAAATAGAGACTCCAAAATAATTCAGTCTTCGCTAGCTTCGGCGGGTAAGTCATTTTTCAGTCCCCCGTATAGTTCTTGTTTTTCTTTGTCTCTCATTTCAGGTCATTTATCGTTATTGATTTTCTTGCCACTCCATTCTCTTGATTCTATTTTATCTCTCTGTTGGCTTTTGGGGTAAGGCGTAGGTTTTAGGATATGGGTTTTTCGTTGTTTTTTAATGTAAGTCGTCGATTAGGTGTTCTGGGGTTTCCGTTCCGTGTTTATGTATTTGTCTGCATAATATATATATATATATGTATTATATACATTAAGAAAACAAAGAGCCCTTTGCTGTTGGAATTTACTTCACTGATGTCTGATTGGAACGCCTAAATCCAACTTGCCAACACTGTTGTTTTGAATGAATAAAAATATTGGATGTGCCGCTTCAATCTCACATGACCTGTTTTGTCCCACATTGATGCTTTTGCTTTAAGAGTTTTGCTCACCTGGACTAGCTTGCATTAAGGAATCAACTTTATGGTTCCTGGGAATTATCCTGTCCCTCTCTAATCTATCTCCTATCTGTGAGAAAGCTAACTTGAATGTCAAAACTCAAAATTACCAAATGGAGTTATCACCCAACTTTGGAGTCTGGACTCTTCATCCGTACTTGTTATTCCTTGTTTCTCATAAATTCATTCTGTATTTACACCCAACTTGTCAATTGACAAATAAAGCCTAGGTACATTGTTGGTCAAAACCAATTAAAATGGGATAAATGCATGTGATCAGTGAAACTCTCCCCTTTCTTTTATTTTTCTTAGGAAATTTTTTTTTTCTTTTTTATAGATCATTAAGAATTGATTTTATATGTGCTGAAGAAAGACATAAGGCAATTGTAAAATATAAGCATATAAAGTAACGTGCTTTATATCAAATTTATCTGTTTAGTTTTAATAAGCTGAATCTCTTTTAGAATTTATCATAATAATTTCCACGATCTCTTTCTCTATTTATGTGCTACATACATTAGGGGGTTTGAATGTTGTTCAAGAGGTTCAGAAGCATGGAGACGCACAACCTTTAGAAAATGGTTCAGAATCACCAGAGGACACTGTAGCCTCTGTTTCAGAGATGGTATTGCAGCATGTAGAGCACATGCAAGCTATGGCAAGGGGGATTGTTCAGTCTGTACAGATGCTAGTGACGCATGCACAACTAGAATTTGCCAGCTTCCGACCACCAACTTATCTCCTCTCAGACATAGACAATGACTTACAGCAGCTCATCTATGTTCAGGAGCAAGCAGACGCGCAGCCTTCAGGTGATGGTGCAGAGTCGTCGGACTTATCAACTGCGGTGGAAGATGGTGATGCTCAGCGCTCTCAAAAGGATCATGTAAAGCGCCTTTGGGATTTTTTGCAGCAGTTCCAAGTGCACCTGGAAGCTTTCATTAGGTGGATTCGTCGATGGTTAATGTGATAGCAACACATTTGAATCTAGACCTCAGCAAGATTGCACCATCAGCAGATGAGTTTCTCTCAGACATGGAAAACGTTTTCTAAACACCCCTTGACCTTTAGCCTTGTTTCTTTCAGCAGCTGATTTCCTCTGACACAAGGAAGATGATATTTCCAAAACACCTTTGACCTTTAGCCTCTTTTGGTTCAAGTTTCTAGTCTTGGTTTTTTTGTTTCTCCTTGCTTAATGTTTTCCTCTTAGTCTCACATTTTGTTTGGATGTCTGTAACTACACAATTAATGTGCTTTCACTTGAGACAGGTTTTTCTGATATATGTGATTCATTAGCAATAACTCGGCTTTTACATGTCAGCGTATGTGTGCAACTACTGCCTTCTGTCCCTAAGAGGTAGTAGACTAATTTGAGTAAATAGATTAAGAAAGTTTGTTAAATTAGTTATTTGTGATAAATAGGTGTTTTGTTCTCTAAAATATTTTTACTAATCATATATATTAGTTAGAACTACTAATAGAATATTTAGTATGTATAACTATTACAAAGGATATTTTTAAAAAGTAAATAAATATGAGAAACAAAGTCGATTAGATTTTATATTTAGAATCTAATTAAATGTCAAACTAGCTTTTATATTAAGAATTGGAGGTAGGATTATTTTATGCTACTTCCGGTCTTTAATATAAGGCCCCGTTTAACTTTTATGTTGGTTTTAAATATAAGACCCTAATCCATTTTGTCTCTTATATTTACTTAATTTTTTTCAAGATAGTTCTTCTAATAATTACTCCCTCCGTTCCTTATTATAAGAGACAAATAACCAAATCACGTTGATAAAAAAAACAGTTAAAATTAGTTGAGGACAATTAATGTGTAAAAATTATAATGCTCTTTCCAACAATGCCCCTATTAATAAGGAGAGAGAGTAGGAAAGAGAACAATTAAATTATTGAAAAAAAGAGAAGTGGGAGGGAGAGAGAGTATGAGTTGGAGACAAAATAAATAGGGATAAAATAGGAAATCAATACAAAAAAATAGAGACACCTTTTAAGTGTCTCTTATATATGGGAACATACCATAAACATCAAATGTCTCTTATAATAAGGAACGGAGGAAGTATAGTTTTAGTCAATATACTTGATTAGTAAGGATATTTTAGGAAAGACAATACCTATTTATTACAAATAACTAACTTAATTTCTTTCCTTAATTTTTTCAAATTAGTCAATTGGTTCTTATAATTAGAACCGGAGGTAGTACCTCAGTTAAATTTGTCAACGGGTATTACAATACGGAACTGATGTAAATCATGAGAATGAATATTGTATTCCAACAATCTTGATTTGATTTCAAGCACCGTGAAAGTGAAAATCAAATCGAACTGTAAATCTTGCCTTGGTCATTATTACCTTGAATGAAGAACCAAAGGTTTACAAATCTGAATGAGTTTGAGGGTTGCAAGTCATGAGCCATTTCATTTCTCCTGCATGCAGGGTGCTGTGTATTACAAGGGCATGCTTGCTTATTGGATGGAATACAAGATAACAACAATAACAGGCTCTCATTGAGAAAAGAAATTCAGGTAAATTAATTAGGTAAATTATAGATGAAAAGTAAACCATTAAATCATGACGAAAATAACATAATAAATTTAAAGAAATTTTGTTATCAAAACAAATGTAAAGACTTTAAAATAAATGTTATGGAGTGTATCTACTTATCTACTTCATACCCAATAAGAGTTTCATATTTCAAAAACTTCTAAAATAATTACGCTTAAATTTAATTTTTTTTCCTTAAATCCCAAAATAGTCGTTAGATCTAGTTATATTGGATTGTTAAGAGGAAAAACGCATGTAAGACCACTAAAGAAGCCAAAGATGTTCCGCGAAATGACTAAATACTAATCAAATCCAAAGATGTAATTAAAAAAAAAAAAAAAAAGTCCAACGAAACTTAAATGTAGTTAAATTAAAATTTTGAGCATATTTGCATAAAATTTCCTTCATTTCTTTAGACTGAAAAGAAAGTTCTTTAGACTAAAAAAAAGAATAAAAATTAAATCAAATTACTATTATTCGTTATGTCAAATTCTCCAATCTGTTATGTGTAATTTTTATTATTAATATTTGTCCAACAAAATTTTGAAATTTTATCAATGTAATAAAAATTTACATGACACATATAATAAATATAAGCAATTTGATTTATTAAATTTTATCTTAAAAAAAGGCTTTCTGAGGCACAATCACTACCCGTACAATGGTTGGAGCTATCTCCAGCACCCAGAGAACGGCGCTTGAACTCCTGTCACCAACCACTGCGACTCGGGGATGGTGGGCGATGATTGGAGCTCTAGGCAGCTGCGGAATTCTTCAAAATTGGCATGGGTGAAAACGGGATTTGCTTTTACAACATTTGGTTTCTTCTCCTAACTGAAATACACTACTCAACGGTCAAGAAGTACAACCAAGAAAACAAAAAAAGAAAAAAGAAAACCTAAATGCCCTCATCACCATCGGCCTCCAGATCTTGAGAAGGACAACATTTGGTTTGTCGAAATGTTATATAATCGCTGGGCTACAAAAATGCTTTAACGATACTACCTCCAATATTTATTATAAATTTCAAATAATTAATTTACAGATAACAAATAAGTAGTTAAGATTAGTTAAAAATAATAAAATGGTTAGAAATATAGTTTCGTTTCTGAGTATACCCTTATATAAATGAGAAAAAAGATATAAAAAAAATGTATGGAGAAGTGTGACAAGAGAGCATGACAAATGAGAGAGATTAAACAACTAAGAGCAAAAATTAAAAAAAATACATTAAATATTTAGACAAGCCTCAAATTGAAACTTATAAAATTAACCACACTGGCAATCAATATGATCTTGACGGGATGTGATGTTGATCATCCTTTTAATGATTTGATTGACGATACTAGATTATTGCTCCAACGAGACTAGTAGATTAGACTTAGGTACCCTAGCAGGGAACATATAGGATTAGCTAATTTTTTGGCCAGAACATCTCATGATATAGATGATGTCTATTGCCTATTGAACCAACCTCCACCAGGAATTCCTGAGACGGATGTTGAGCCAGGAGACTAGATTTTGTATTTGTAAGTTGACTCTTTAAGAAGGTATTTCAGTTTTCTACTAAAAAAAAAAAAAACCACACCTCTCTCTAAATTTGAAGCTTATAAATAAGACTAGATGGAGTATAATGTAAAATATTATATGAAATAGCTATCAAATTTCAAAATACATGAAATACTTAATTTAATAATTAACCACTTGAATATAATATTACAGGCAGAATCTCATTAAATTTGGTTGGCGTATCAAAATTCAAATAAAAAACCTGCACTCTCAACAAATTCTTAATCAGCCCAACTGACCTTATTAGGGATGTTTTTAATTAATGTTATTAAATAACTAAAATATTTTTTAAGTTAACAAATTGATAATTACTTCAATCAATTTATGACCGAACTATTTTTTCCTTAGATGCCACCAAATAATCGATTCACTTCGCGCTGCTAAGGAAGGTGTTTGGGTAACTCAGAAAAAAAAAAAAAACTTCCGCACTTCAAACTATGATTTCACATCAAAATCATCCAAACAGCTACACATTTTTAAAAATGAATTTTTTTGTCTCGAAGCATGGGTTGAGGCTGGAAACCAAGATTTTCAGAAAAAGTAAATTTTTTTTGCTTTTGTGATGTCAAAAGGAGGCCAACTGAATATGGATAGAAATACCCTCAGGTTCGAAAGCAAAGCAAAAGGTATAATATGTTTATTCAATTTTTATAAAAATATATTTAATATACATGCACACTAATTATTAATTAATTATATAACTAATAAATTTTTCCTACTCAAAAAATATTATAGGATATCATATTTAAAATCTTTAAAATAAAATAATCATTTTTCTAAAAACATATTTAATCTTATATTTTATAAATATATATACACATAATAATTACAAATTAATCATATTTTTCATATATTATTTATTATGTTAGAAAAATATATTATTTACAAATTTATTATTCTGAACAAAAATAAAAATAAAAATTTATCCTTTATGCAATTATCATATTAATTTTTATCTTTTTTAGTAATTTTTGTACATGTTAAGAGGATTCTGATAACAACTATTCAAGTATTCTCATTTTATCAAAATGATTTCTTTCACAAAATCTATTCTTTTAAAATCTATTTTTAAAACAATTTTTCTTTCAAAAATTATTTTTTAAATTATTGTTTGGTTTTTATCTAAATGGTTATGTTAAATCACTGGATTCTTAATTTTTTTAGTGGACTTCCGATAAATTGAGAGCTACATTCTGACAAGTTTTTCTTAACCCTGATGCCTACTTTAGCGTCGCACAGTATAGAGAAAATGGATCAAATCACAACCATCTACAACGTGATCAACAGTATGTCCTACTGTTGCATTTTCACCAAACTTCACCTACAAGACGCTACTCTTTTTCTCTATTTTGCCCCCTGTAAAAAAAAAAAAAAATCCCTTTCTTTACTTATATGCTCAATGTTTATACGTTAAATAATTATAAGAAAGTATGCTAAGAAATAAATAATTATAAGGAAAAAAAATCTCCTTCAAAACATTATTGATTTAACAGTGTTGGAATCAAGTAATTAAAAAGTCTATGCTCCTATAAATTTATTCTCAATGCAAAGTTAGTAGAAAATATTATATTATGCATTGTCAATTTTTTGCTCTTACTATTTCCAAATTTTCTAGTGTAAAGCATTTTTTTATAAATAAATGTTATATAATATTAAATTGTCACGGTTTAATTTTTTAAATAATAATTTTTTTAACTATAAAATGTTATTTTAGTCTTTTAACAATATTCAAAATTTCCTAATAATACTTTTTGGTCTAATTAGGAATTTACTAAAGTGCATTTCTTAATTTGAATTTTGACATTTTAATCAGAATTAATTGGATTATCCCTTAAT